CTTCTTCCATTTTCGAGCTCCCAAGGTCTTAGAGAGAGAGAAATTAAACTTCAAATCTTCATATCTTTTTCATTTTAGCTTCAAATTGTAAGTTCTTTATATGTATTTTCATCTTCTCAACGTGTAGAATCTGAATCTGTGCTTTGTTTCTTCGATCTGTTCCCCGAAAATTTCCAGATTATTTTTCAAGTATTTCGCATTTCCTTCCAAAAATTAAATAAAATAGCTATTGATGTTGAATTCATTCCAATTAATTATATAGTTGTTCACTAGCCTAAAGGTAGTTATTTATCTGAAGAAATTTATTTTTCACGAAGTAGAAGTAATTTTTAATTAATTTCGGTAATTACTTGATATTATTGCTTAAATCAAAATAAATACTCAAAAAAGGAAAAAAATTTAGTTCGTCCTTAATTTCAGTTTAATTCATTATTTTATCACTACCAGTAATTAAAATAAAATTTATAACGAAGTTAGAATATTTTTGGTGGCCATTTTCACTTTCTAGTTAAAATTGGAAAATCATCAATTAGTTGCTAAAATTGGATCTTAAATTTATTAATTCGTGAAAAATTCCAGAAAATTATATTTTAGTTCCTATAAGTTTATTGTCTCAGAATATAAGCTTTGTTTGAATTTTTGCTATCATCCATGTTTAATCCCTTGTTAATATTGAATATACTCATTATATTGTTAATTGTAAAAATGATGTTTAGTAGCTAAATTTGTTTTGGGCATGAATTGAGAAAAAGAATATGGATTGACTTGTTGACCTAAAATTAGGGGTTAAAATTAATAAATTGGACTAGTTGTTTAAAATGATGAAATAGTAATTAATAATAGTTAGCCATTTTCATTAATTAAATTCTTGGAAAATTTATTCTAACTTGTCTATGAGATTAGAAATTAATTTAAGCCAACCATATTTGAGCACATTAATAAGGCCTAGAAATAGGATAATTTAATGAAAAGGATTTACATCTTGTCTATGAGAAATAAATTCAATTGCTAAAATAAAGAGTTTAACTAGTTAATGAATTTGGCTATTTTTATTAATTAAAATATTGGAAAATTATTTCTACCTTGTCTATGGGTTTAGAAATTAATTTAAGCCAACCATTTTAAGCACATTAATGACACCTAGAAATAGGATAAATTAATGAAGATAGTTTCTATTCTTGTCTATAAGGGAAGAAATTATTAGTCCAATTTTAGTTTTAATTTCCCTAATTAAGCGGTACAAGAACATATCCATTTCTAATTACTCAATTCATTGCCCTTGTTTGCATCAATCCTTAGAACACTTAATTTTTAAAACATTAATCTTTAAATCGAACCTAGCTCTTAGTTATAAACTGGCATCAATTAGAACACAACCCCTTTCCTATATTGAAAAAGCTTCCAACGATTAGCGATAGCCCGTGACTAAAATTAAATTAAGAAACTTCTCCGCCATTCCTCAAGAGACACGATACTCGGGGAAAAACCGAAAGGTTAGACTCCGTTTTACTACAACGCCGCGAAAGCGGCCATCATAGGCTCAATTAAATTAATTTCATGTAATTAGGCCTGATCTGTCAGAAATCTGTTTACCCCGGAATCGATCCCTGTTCTCTTCGTCATTAATTAGAAAGAACCCCCTATTTTAATTGTTCGCATTAGTTTTATTTTCCAAACCAACCAATCTCGCACGACGCTTTTATTTTATTTTCTTTTTAATCGCTGAATTTAATTAATTCTTGATTCCCTTTTGTCCGTCCCTGTGGAGACGATACTCGTACTTACACCACTATATTACGATCTATTTTAAGTGCGAGAAAACTCACATCATTTACCCTGGTTGTGGAAGGACTAAGTGCCATGTTGAGGAGAGCAGAAGCTAAATGGGATATACATGGACTGACAATCTGTGGAGGGGCTGCGAGCTTATCTCATTTATTTTTCGTTGAGGACAATTTTCTGTTCTTAAGGCAACAAACAGTGAATGTGCCACGGTTAAAAGAACTTTGCAGGTATATGAGGAATTTTCAGGCCAGGTGGTAAATTATACTAAATCCTCCATGACATTTAGCTCAAATGTGGGAGAACCGGTTAAAGCTTCGTGTTGTCAGATTCTGGGGACATCGAGAGAGGGGAGACAGTCACAGTATTTGGGCTTGCCGGTCCTTTTGGGGAAAAATAAAACAACTATCATGGGATATCTTCGTACTGAATATATAGTGAGATAAAGAGTTGGAATAATCTGTTGGGTGTGTTTCGGAAAATAAAAAAAATTAATTAAAATAAATTAATTAAAATAAAATGACTAGAGAAAAACAAGAAAGGAGATGAAGCAGAATTAGTCAAAGCTCGTGCTACGCACGATGTCCTTAAAACGTATTTGTTGTCTCCCACGGTGCTAGGAGCGTTGCAACAATCGTTTCCCAGGATACGATGACTACGAACTAATGTTTGAGCACACAAACAAGAGTTCCAGCGAACGAGAACAAGTCTGAACACAGAATGAATTTTTCAGAATGCTAGCAGTGTGTTTTTTGAGGTGCAAAAGGTGCTTGGAGTGTATGAATTCGTCTAAGAACGTGTCCTGTTGCAAACCACCTGCCAGCCTTTATATAGGAGAATTTGTTGTGTGTAAATGGTGAATTAATGGACCTGAACGTTGGACATCAATGACCAGTCCGTTGGACATTGAATCGTCCATGAACTGTCCATTTAATGCTGCATTAAAACATATAAACGTTGGGCATTTATTGCTGTAACGGTTCAGAAGACCTCCCAACGAGGGTTTCTGTTCGAAGCCGACAGAAGACCCTTGTGAGGGTTTCTGGTCCGCGACCATCAGAAGACCCCGAGGGGTTCTGGTACGCGGCCACCAGAATACCCCAAGAGGGTCAAGTCGCGGTTTTTCTTCTCCGAATTCGGGATTTGATTTGCACCCTCCCCCTGCGCGCGTGGAGAGAGCCTTTACCCTAAGGAATCTTAACTCCTTAAGGGGGAAGTCCCTTTATAAAGGGTTGCAAATCCCTTGGGTTTTCCGGTGTGGGAAATTAACACTAGAAACCCATCCTTTTTCCCAGTTTTTCCATTCTAATGGGTAAACTTCGAAAAACGATTTCTCATTCACCCGTTATCCGTTTTGAGCGTACCATATATCGAATTGTAGCCCTTAACAAGGAAAATCCGAAACCACTTTAAACTGACCCAAATCGGAAGTGGACCCCACTCAAAAAATTGCCCCAAAATAGCCATTTAATGCAATTTTTCACACATTTTTCCATCAATCCCCCACATGAATGAAAATTGATTTTCGAGACTTAAAAAGACACGAAGATAGGAGGACACGTTGTGTTCACCGGATGATCCTTGTATACGGAGAGGTAGGTTTTATCCTTTGTTAAGAGTTGCTACAGGTTACTCATGGGGGAGCTACAGGTTGGAGACTGGAACGGGTGGAAGAAGTTGTGGGAACTTCGGGTTTCACTAAAGTTAAAATATTTTGCCTGTCAGGTTCTAGATGACACTCTTTCAACTATTGATAATTTGAGGAAGAAAGGGGTAGCGATCCAGAGCGGGTGCAAATTATGTGACGAGGAGTCGGAATTACTTGATCATGCAATGCGCTCTTGCGGCCGGGTTTGAGGGGTGTGGCAGCAGGTGGGCATCCCAAATGCTGGTGGAGGAATGGCTGCGGCAACACCTAGTTACGTTGGACACAGAGGGCGGAGGTAAGCTCATATCTAGTTACAAAGGAATGTTAGCCGACTGGAAGGAGGCTCAGGGTAGCAACATGGCAAGGGTGAGGCAGTTCGGTGAAGCATTGGGGAATGGATAAGGCCCACGAGTGAAATTATAAAGATCAATGTGGATGGGGTAGTCAGTTAGGATGGAGGAATTCGGGCTTGGGGTTGGATTGCTGGGAATGAACATGGAGAATTTATCATAGCTCAGGGAGTAGAGCCGGGTTGGGTGGTCGGTAGCGGAGACAGAGGCGTTAGGAGTACGAGATGCTATCCTAGGAGCGACTGAGGAAAGTTGGCGTAATGTGGAGATAAAGACATATGCTCTCACTATGTCTAAAGGGATTAAGAAAGGGGATGGTTAATCATATTTTCACATAATAATTGATGATATTCGGAAGATGTTAGAAACAAAGAGTAATTTTATTGTCTCTTTTTGTAGAAGGTCTACAAATCGTGCTTCTTATGCGTTATAGTATGAGAGCACATGTTGTTATCTCAAATCAAAGGATCACCTACGATAATATCTTTCAGCATTTTGTTATCCAGATGACAAAAGATTTATTGATTTAATATAATAAGTTTTTGTTTTGACGAAAAAAAATTAAGTTTGTCCGGCTACATTTGAAGCACAAAAAATATACAAATGTTGCACCTTGCATTATACATTTGCTTTGGTAAACCAGAGAGAATAAGAAGTTTGGATAAGAAAACTAAAAGAGAGAAATGCGAGAAGTTTATAAGGAGTTATGTCTAAAATATTATTACTAAAAGGAGTTATGTACAAAAAGTGACATTTTTTCTCAATTTCCAAAAATAAGGCTAAAATGATGTTAGGAGGCTATTATACCCTTATAGTAATGTATAGTGTCACTCACTGATGCTACGGTAACGTCACGATGACCAATAACACTAGTGACTTAAATCCATCAGTGACCAAAAGTCTAAAATCCGTCAGTGACCAAAAATCCAAAATCCGTCAATGAACAAAAATTCTGCAAGTAATCAACGTTCACCCGTTCAGTGATAGTTACTCGACTCTTCCAGTTACATTTACCCAACTCGTCCAGTTACAATTACCCGACAGTACAGTTACAATTATCCGACCCGTCCAGTTACAGTTACCTGACCCGAGGGCAGTTATCCGACCAATTCAGTTACAATTACCCGATTCATTCAATTAACGTTACAATTATAGTAATTGGGTTTGACAATTTACAATTATCCGGGTCTGGGTCTGATAATAATTACCATTGACAACCACCTCTCGCCACCGCCTGCAACAACCACCTTAGGCCACCGCCAACAACAACCACCGCCAACACTACACCCCAGTCCCCCTCCCTGCATCACCCAACCCCTTCCTTGCCTAGCCCTCTCCCCTGCGACACCCAACCCCTACCTTTCCGGCACCACCATGCCTTAGGACGGAAACACATTCGTTTGACCTCGCCCTTCCACATTGTCATCGTTCCAGCGTCGAAGGGGCGGTGCGGTTGTGAGAGCAGATTGGCCGGTAAGTCAAGCTGAAGTTTTGAGGAAGTGTGTTGAATTGATTGGGGAGATGATCGATGTCTGCGATTGAATGGCTGGGAAGATCTAGACCGACATGTAAGGCCGTAAGGGTATGCCAAAGGGTATTTAAGACTATTCATACGGGAGTCAGTTTTTTGTCCAATTTAGCTCTCACTCCGATTTATGTCCACACGTATGCCATAAGTAATAGATGTGTCATTTTTCCTTATGTATAATGTAAAGTACGGAGTAGCATGAAAGGAAATATCAAATATATGAATAATTTTGTGTTGCTCCAAATTGATCGATAAGTATTCCCATTCATGGATAAACAATGAATAATAGTGTGCATAAATTTCTTTATATTTGTATCAAGGGAAAGTTCCCGAAATAGGACTAAAACAGTTTGAAAATTCCAAAATAGGACTGCCAAGTTTTTTATTCTCAAAATAGGAGTAATTACTGTCATGTTTGGAAAATATTGCCATGTTTGAAGTCTGGTACTGCCAAAACATGACAGTAATTAGTCCTATTTTGAGAATAAAAACATGGCAGTCCTATTTTGGAATTTTCAAATCTTTTTAGTCCTATTTTGGGTAATATCTCTTGTATCAATAATATTTTGTTACTGCACGTTTATTACCGTAGCCACCGCCACCTAAACAAATTTATAGTCATCAACACCTATTTGAATAATAGTTTGCATAAATCCCTTGTCATTCTTTTTTACTTTTAAAACTGAACTGACTTAAGTTAATGTAGGGAATCCCTCAACCATTATTTTTTCTATTTTTCGTTATTTTATTAATAAATTGTATTTTAGACATAATTGAGAAGATTTAAACAATTCTGGCGCTTCAACCATAATTTCACCAGATTCAATCAACTCGGTTACTTAAAATGTTACCAAACATGATATTAAAGGCTTAAAGCCACGGTCTTATGTGAGTCTTATTCGGCAAAACAACTTTGGAGTCTCGGAATATTGAATAGGATTAATTAATAGATTTTGGAAACGTTCTTTTTTAAACATATTTTTTTTAAAAGTAAAAATTTTACTTATAAATTTAGCACAAATCAATATATATAAAAGATAGAACTTTTTAAGAGCATACGGCGCGTTACATAATCTTGTCATGTCATCATATATAACAATTCTTTAATTACCTTTATACCTTTTTTTTATCACATTCTATTTTTTATTACATATTGATATAGAAATCCACCTTATTTGCTTGGTAACTTTAGCATAGGCTATATTTTAAATTTCTAATTTCAAAATTTAGAAACATCAAACCTACGTAAAGAATTTGAGGTTGATGACTGTAGCAAGGGAATCCAAGTTTAAAGAATCTTCAATATTAAATTCAGAACTTTACATATTCAGAACTTTACAAACATAGCTATATTTTGTGTTTCTATATTCGGATTTTACAAACATAAGCTTAGAACTTTACAAACCTACGCAGGCTATATTTTGTGTTTCTATATTCAGATTTTAGAAACATAAAAATTTACGTAGAATTGAACACTTGCTATTATAAAAAGGAAGAGAATGTAAACTAAAGTATGCTTTTACAATTTCACTATTCAGTTTTATAAATTTCAGTTTTCATCGAGTTTCTCCTTTGTTTGAAGAGTTGAGACTAAAGTCCTGTCTGGATTGAGACGTCTATCTAGGTTAAGATTTATATCGGGATAAAATGATATTTGTATATGAAGTTATTATTTTTGTATGCTGAATAAACAGTCTGAATCAAGTAAAATAATCAATTTCTTAGATTATAGTGTCAATGGAAAACTTCATTTATTAATACGGAGTATAAATTTTGTCAACAACCAAATAAAAAAATTGACAGGAAAAAATGTCTTAAAAGACGTCTTAATGGGAATGACTGCTATTGTCCAGTTTAATAATTAAGTCGATTTTTTGATTGAATGATTCCAATTAAATCGTAATTAAACATTACTTCGTGAATGAATGATTAAGTCATCATTGTCATTAAGTCTATTAAATCGAGAGTAAACAACCCATGAGTTTATTTTGCGTATGCATCACATTATATATGATTTAAAAAATCACATTTAAAATTGGATAAATCACGTACCGCCCGTGCATCACACAGGCTTAAAACCTAGTATTACCTCCGTTCTCTTTTAATTGCAACATTTGACTTTTTGCACTATTAACATATTCTACTTTGACTATATTTTATAAATTAATGTATACTTAATTAAATTTAAAAAAAATCCTCTCATTTTAAATTTTAAAAATATGAATTTTTTAATTTTTTACTAATAAGAAATGAAAGATACTAATGATCAAATTTGTGCATTGACAAGCGTGAAAAGTGGAACGTTGTAATTAAAAAAGAATGGAGGAAGTATAATAACTATAAAATTTATTAACCAAAAAATTTTGTTGGATGAGGGAATACCGTCCCAAATTGTTTTGCAAAGTCAACATTTTTTTGTCAACCAATAATAAAAAGTCAATCCTCTTTATCGTTAATTAACTCAATTTTTAATAATTAAAATTTACATATTCAGAAACTACATTAAAAAACTCTTCAAAGTTGTAGACTTCAAATAAGAAATAATTAAAAATTAACATCCTAATTAAGCAAATAAAGTAAAACTGTTTGACCAAGAAAAGTCAAATTTGCAAATCAATTTGGGATTGAGATAATATGTTAGGTGGTTTCTATGGTACCCATAAGGTACCATACCTTTGTCCACATGGACCAATGAAAATGTAACAGTTGAATTATTTAAATCTAAATTAAAATTGATATAGTGATGTGGTCCAATCAAATGAATGCTAGGTACGGTACCCCGTTTTTAGAAAGATACCGGAGTTGTCACAGATATGTTATTGTGTCCAAAAGTCGTTGGATGTAATGGTCCCCTTTCTTCCAAATAAATATAGCTGCCATACATCCTCCTTCTCCCACACTGAACAAAAAAGAGAGAAGAAATGGCCTATTCTTTCTGCTATGCAGCCTATGCTGACCTCTGGTTTGCTTTCTTCTTCATCATCTTATTACAGGCGCATTCGACCCCGCCGGGGGATCCCATTAAGTGCACCGATAACAATGCCGCCCAAAACTGCACCGTTACCAACTCCTACGGCGCCTTCCCGGACCGCACCATCTGCCGCGCCGCCGCGGTGGCGTACCCGAGAACGGAGGAGGAGCTCCTCGCCGTCGTCTCGAACGCCACCAAACAGAACCGGAAAATGAAAGTCACGACCCGGTTCTCCCACAGCATTCCCAAGCTGGTCTGCCCGGACGGCGACGACGGTCTACTCATCAGCACCAAACTCCTTAACCGGACGTTGAAAGTTGACAACCGGAGCATGACGGTGACGGTGGAGAGCGGGGTGAGTCTCCGGGAACTGATCAGTGTGGCGGCGGAGGCGGGGTTGGCTTTGCCGCACGCGCCGTACTGGTGGGGGGTGACGGTGGGAGGGATGATGGGGACCGGAGCTCATGGGAGTTCGCTATGGGGCCGGGGGAGCTCCGTTCATGATTATGTTGTCGGGGTTCGGATTGTCACTCCGGCGTCGCCGGAGAAAGGGTATGCCGCCGTCCGGCAGCTTGGTGAAGGTGATCCGGAGATAAATGCAGCAAGGGTTTCTTTAGGAGTTCTTGGAGTGATCTCACAGGTACGTAGTATGTGATTTTATACGGAGTAACCAATAAGTTTGTCAATTTTAAGGAGTTTTCGATTATTGAGCATACATTTTTTTTGCAGAAGAAACGTATTACTACCTCCATCCAGATGTAAGGTTCGAGGGTAAATGACACAATTTTTTTAGGTAAATGATTAAATAAAGCAAGTTGAGTAAAAAGGGAGAAAAGAGAAAATTTGGGAAAAGTAAACATATAAAGTAAAAGTAATTAAATGAAGATAAGTTGCAGGGAATTGCGAATTGTGAGTTCGTAACGAGTAGAAAAGATAAAATTGATTAGGAGTGTAATTTAAGAGAGTAACTATTTCCTAGAATGAAATGAAAACCTTTAAATAAAACACACAAATAAAAAAAAGGTGCACCTTTCAGGAGGGAGGAGTAATTTTAGGTCATATTGTTGAGATGACATAGTGTAAACTCTAGGATCATTATGAGTCATCCGCACGAGTAGCTTAGTTGGTTGAGTGGTGAGAAATTTGAAACAATGACTAATGTTCGAAACCCGCAACGGCCGTGTTGAGGTTACAACTCCTGTGTGCTGTGCTGCACCTTTGGTGTGCACTGGTATAAGGTCTACTTTATTGGGCCGACTGAGTCACCGTGATTTACCTCTCTATCATTCTGTCGGGTCGGGTGTGGGGGCTGTTGGGATGGGAGATTCCACCTTTTGGAACAAAGAATCATTCTGAGTCTACTATTTTCTAGTTTTCACATGTTAAATGACATTAGGGAGAATTTGACTTTACACCTCACTTTTTGTGTGATATTAGCCTTTGCACCCCATTTTAAAAAACATTTGACTTTGCACCGTATCATTTTTGTGAAGGAAAATTTCAAAATGGGGTGCAAAGTCAAAGGATTTTGAAGTAAAATGAGGTACAAAATCAAAGTTTTTTTAAAATGGGGTGCAAAGTCCAATTCCATCCCAAGTGTGGAGTGAAAAGTCAAATTCCCCACAAGATTATGTGTGTACTACGTAGGCCGTACCCTACAGGATACTTCGCAAGTTCGCATTACGAAAACGTGATTTTCTAGTAATTGGTCTTAATTTATTGTTTTCTTTCATAAGTTATGAATAATTTATAATTTGCCGATAGATCTTTACCAATTTTTACATTGTGAATTTCAATCACAATTTCAACTACATTAGATAGATTCATTTGATAGACTAAATTTCGAAATTACCAAACACATTCTTAAATCACAATGAAAAAGTGTAATTTCTTTCGGTATATATCATCAAAATAAAACTCATTTAATTTCCTACAACTTTTCATCATCATCAATGGATCAATGGTGTTAGGTATTGTCGTTATGAACTTATGGTATCTTTACTTTTACTCCATTCCTTTTCTGCGTGGGCAAAGTGACAAAGAAGCAGGTATTTGTGGAATTGTGGGAGACTTTTTATCTTTTGTAAACTTACGGGCGGCACATTTTCCTAATTTTTTATTCGCTGCATTCATTTTTGTTCCCATTAAATATTTGAATTAAGTTCTCGTGATACATCAATAATGTCATCTTGATGGTAATTTCAAAGCAAAATTTCAAAATTTTAAACAATAATAATGTCATTTTCATGATATTTAAATGTACACTATAGTCCTATTTTGTACATTTATGAGTTATTATACTTCTTTTTAGTGCATTTTCCTTTATAATACAGAGTAATTCACAAGTAAACATTGCAAATAGTAACATGATTATATTAATCGCATCGTAGGATTCATAGCGGGTGAAATAAACTTGAGTACCGCAAGCATCGTCTCTACTCTGATCTCCATTGTGCTTCGGAAGCTCGACGATACTTTTGGTGATAATTTGTGACATCATGCGCTAAATACAATTATTTAAAGGGTTAAATGGCCACATAGCTTAAATAAATATGATAGAACAAATTAATAGCCTATATTATGATTTTTTAAGTGCATAACACTTCTGTAGCTAATGTGAGGTGACGTAATTTTAGTTACTTATGGAACCGTGTTTTTTTATTCATTTAAATAGGTTCGTTATGCTATTTGTTTAATTTATACAAATGCATGACATAAACTTAACTGCACATATTTAAAGTTGTATATATGCCGAAACATTCAAATTAATTAAATTTATTTAGTACTGATTTTCTTCACTTAATAGTAGTGTACGAACAACACTTTTTCGTCTGTCTTACACAACTTTGTCAATTGTCTTTTTCCTTTACCCAAAAAAAATTATTACACTCTACTCCACGTAACTCAATCATACATTATTCATTTTCATCAAAAAAAAAAAATCATACATTATTCATACTTTTTCTTCACATTCAATACAAAGCATTTTGGACATTGGTAATACTCAGATCAATGAGCCAAAGGTGATACTATCCTCCCTTTTTGTATTCCACGGGGTAATAATCTATAGTATGGACATATTTGTAATTTTAAGATTCCTGATTATTATGAATATGTCCCAAACTATAGATTATTAGGAGGTAACTTATGTTTCACTATCTAGCAAAGGAAAACTATCATTTATACGTAGTATATTGTTGCATGGTTGGTGCATGAAAAGGTGACCCTTAAACTTGAACCGATGTTTAAACGGTCAGTAACTTACGTGGAGGAAAATGACACAAAATTGGTGGAAGAAGCAGCCACGTTTGGATCCCGTCACGAATTTGGAGATATCACTTGGTTCCCAAGCCAGCGAAGAGTTGTGTATCGCATTGACGATCGTGTCCAGACAAACACGTCCGGCGATGGTCTTAATGACTTCTTGGGATTCCGATCCATGTCTTCGCTTTTGTTAAGCTTCGTGAGAAGTGCAGGTTAGCTTATTAGAAGTTAAATTAAAATTGCTATTTCGTCAATCTTTGGTTAGTTTAGGAGTTAGACTTAGATCATACATTAATATATGTATGGTTATGACTGAGTATAAAAAAGTAAAGGGATAAGGGTCAGATAGGGCCTCGAACTCGAAAAAAAATGTCAAATAAGGTCATATTTCGGATGCTCTGTCTGGCCGACGCCATTTGGGGCGGTTCCCGATGGAATTTTTTGATAAAATTTTTTGAGCATCTTCCTCATTAAGTCTAGTTTATCCATACCAAATTTCAGCTAAAAACTCAACCGGGAAGGTAGTCAAATGAGTTTTTGAAGATAACTGTGAAGTTAAACAACGCCGTACATTTCGGAAAATTATTTGACTACCTTCCCGGTTGAATTTTTAGCTGAAATTTGGTATGAGTAAACTAGACTTAATGAGGAAGATGCTCAAAAAATTTCATCAAAAAATTCCATCGGGAACCGCCCCAAATGGCGTCGGCCAGACAGAGCATCCGAAATATGACCTTATTTGACATTTTTTTTCGAGTTCGAGGCCCTATCTGACCCTTATCCCAAAAGTAAATTAATATTAGTCATACAAAACTGTTCAAAAAGAGAAATGTCAAATTTGCATGATACCATGTAGAGAAAATTCTCCAAATAGAATTAAAATATAGATAAAATTCATAAATGTGACTATATATTAATGTTGTATTCTTAAAATATGATTGATTTACTGTGAGAAGATTTAATCATGTTTTTCTTTTAATACGGCTGAATAAGTCCTATTTGGGGATATAAAATATTTATAGAACTTATTCTTTTTTTTTGAACTTTGTGTGCGCTTTTATTCCAATATGACAATATTGAGCAATTTCGATCTTTACGATTGTACTACATACTTTACTACATAGTATCTCATTTGAGGAATTTCATTACCATTTTAAACATGTACTTGGACCGGGCACTAATTGGCCCAATAAATCCGTGTTTGGATTGGGTACGGTAGAGAGCAACACCACTTTTCGATAAATATAGATATTGTATACGCAGTAGTTTTTTGTTACATTTTTTTCCACCTCTTTTATAATACTAGTATGCAATTATTAGATATAACTTTTCATCCTCTAGTCTTTAATTAAAAAAACTTTTCATCCTCTAGTAGATACATTTCATATAAGAATGCAATGAAAATATATATATCTATCCACAGTTTGTATCCCCATACGGACCATACTCCGTTGTGGATAGAATGTTGAACCATTTTTTTAAACTTTTATCGTTCGCATGAATTCCAGGGATCACTTCCATAAAAAAATATACTAAGCATATAAAAAACCATGAGATAATTGGGTGTATATACATTTTTTAATACATACATTTAAGTTTATGTTATATATTTACAAAAATTAAGTGCATAGCCCTTTAAATTATCCTAGAAGCTTATGAGTTATATGAATATAGGATATCAACACCGAAATCCATGGATTTGATGTTATCTAAATACAGTTTTAATTATCAAATATGATCGAGTCTTGTATTTGACTCAACCGTATTTTTATATTAATTGCTAAAGTGCTATATTCTTTAATAAAAATAATAGAGGTTATTAACTAAAAGTAACCTATTTGTTTAAGCTATATAGCCATTTCTCCCATAAAACAACAAGTTGAGGTAACCACACAAACAAGTTGTAAATGATAATTTTATTCATTAATTCGGAAGTAGTAAATAATTAAATATGATGTCTATTTTTTTATATCGAAATATGACGTCTATTAGTTCATTCGGATATATGGGTCACCACTTTTTTTTTATTTTCTCAAAAAACCACCTCAGTCAAAATTTATTAAATTTATTAAAATGTAGGGAAATTGCCCAAAATCGGGAAAGGGTCAAGCCAATCCTAGCAAAAGTAGAGACCCCTCATTCCAATGGGGATCACAACTCTTACCCAATAGTAAGGATATTGAATGAGTTTATCACAAGTCTCCTAATAAGGGTGTATAATTCAAAAATATTTCTTACTTGCTAAACTCTTCCCTAAATCATTCCAGCCTGACCAGCCACCTGCCTATATCAATATCCATCACACCTACATATTCATTTAAGATTACTTTTAGGTCAAATCAAAATTTTAAATATGAATTGATCTATTTCTACATGTGCAGAGGAAAATCAGGAATTACTCAATGATGCGTATGGAAAGTGCACAAACGCTGATACATCCATGTTATTCTTAAAAGGAGCTTCTTATGGACTGACCAACAATGGTACTATTTAAATTTGTTACTCATTAGTTATTATAGTTCTATACAACATAGACAAAGTCCGATCACTGGATATAAATGTGTCTGAAATGACTAGATACTTAGAATTAAAAATTGAGTTACATACACAATTGACTAACTATATATTGATCATCTTTCCAAAAATAAATAGGTGTTATCTTTACGGGGTACCCTATAATTGGATACCAAAATCGGCTCCAATCATCTGGCACATGCCTAGACAGCTTAAATGATGGATTACTAACAGCTTGCCCATGGGATCCTAGAGTGAAGGGACTGTTTTTTCACCAAACAACATTTAGCATTAGCCTATCAAAGGTGAAGGGTTTCATACAAGATGTGCAAAAGTTGGTGAGTTTGGACACAAAATCTTTGTGCGTAGTGGGACTATACAATGGCATTCTCATGAGATATGTCACAGCTTCAAAAGCATACTTAGGAAAACAAGACAATGCCATAGACTTTGACATTACCTACTATCGAAGCAAAGATCCAACAGCCCCGAGGCTTTATCAAGATGTCTTAGAAGAAATTGAGCAACTCGCAGTTTTTAAGTATGGGGCCTTGCCACATTGGGGGAAGAACCGAAATGTTGCTTTTATAGGGGCAATCAACAAGCATGCAAAGTTTGATGAGTTCTTGAAAGTTAAGGAAAAGTATGATCCTTCAGGGTTGTTTTCGAGTGACTGGACTGATCAGATTTTGGGTCTCAAAGAAGGATTGACCATAATAAAAGATGGGTGCGCTTCCGAAGGGTTGTGTATATGTTCACAAGATTCTCATTGCGCTCCCAGTAAGGGGTATTATTGTCGAGCCGGAAAGGTGTACAAAGATGCTAGAGTATGTGTCAAGTTAAGCAACAGTTCATCAGAATTTGCGCTTAAATCAATGTAATTACTCATACAAAAAACTATAATGACATACTTTTTTATCCTTTCTTCATCAAATATTCTTTGAGGCGATTATACCACACACGTCTAGCTTGATTTAGTCCATATAATGACTTTTCAATTTTATGGAAAATAAGTCTCTAGCTTTGAGCTAAAAGCACCGGGTAGCTAGTTTAAATTCTTCAAGAATTTTCATTATATGTCTATATCAAGTGATAAAAGAGAGGTGGAGGTCATACTTTAATACATTTTTCAACGAGAACAAAGTGCAAGATATCGGTGATTTGACCATACCAGATTGTATGGTAAATCGTGATTTTGTGAGAAGGATCCAACCAACGGAAGTTAGATAGGCTCTGAGGAAGATGGGGCGGAAGAAAGCAGTGGGTCCAGATGGCATACCAATCGAGGCTTGGAGAAGTTTGGGAGAGAGAGGCATCAGGTGGTTAACAAATTTCTTCAACAAGATTTGGAGAAACAACAAGATGCCAACGAGTTGCAGAAAGAGTACTCTTATTCCCTTATTTAAGAATAAAGGTGATGTACAAGAATGTATCAACTATCGAGGGATTAAGCTTATGAATCATACCATGAAACTTTGGAAGCGAGTGATTGAGCAAAGACTTCGAAGAACGATGAAGATTTCAGAGAATCAATTCAGTTTTATGCCTGGTCGCTCAACAACTGAGGTTATTCACCTTCTTCAGCAACTTATGGAGAAGTATAGAGACGCTCACAAGGATTTGTATTTAGTGTTGATTGACTTAGAAAAGACATATGATAGGGTACCTCGAGAAGTTCTTTGGTGGGCCTTAACTAGAAAAGGCATTTCACGCAAGTATATCAGCATCATCATGGATATGTATGAGGATTGTACTACAAGTGTCCGTACTAGTGTAGGGAGGACTGCAGAGTTCCCTATTACTATCGGAGTGCACCAAGGATCGGCTCTGAGCCCTTTTTTATTTTTCATAGTCATGGATGGACTTACAAAGTCAATTCAAGACAATATACCGTGGCACATGATGTTTGCCGACGATACTGTATTGATTGACGAGACGCAATCACGAGTTAAAGCAAAGTTGGAAGTATGGCGACAAACATTGAAGAACAAGGGTTTCAGACTAAGTAGGAGCAAGACAGAGTACATGGAGTGCAAGTTTGGTGGAGGTAGAAGCAGTGGTAATAGCGGAATTACTTTAGATGGTAAGGAGATACTGGTCAGCGATATGTTCCGTTACTTGGGCTCCATAATTCAGAAGGACGATGAGTTAGATGGAGATGTATCTCATAGAATCAGAACAGGGTGGATGAAGTGGAAGAGTGCATAAGGATTTCTATGTGATCGAGATATGCCGACTAGACTGAAGGGTAAATTTTATAGGACAACAATTAGGCCTGCATTACTGTATGACACAGAGTGTTGGGCGGCAAAACAATGTCACATTCAAAAGATGAGTGTGGCAGAGATGCACATGCTGCGTTAGATGTGTGGGCATACTAGAAAGGACCGCGTGAGGAATGAGACAATCAGACAAAGGGTGGGAGTAGCACCTATTGAAGATAAGATGTGGGAGTCGCGTCTACGGTGGTTTGGTCATGTGCATAGAAGACCGAGTGATGCACCTGTCAGACGAGATGAGATGTGTGGAGAAGAGGCAGGGAAGAGAGGGAGAGGAAAGCCCAAATAGACGTGGGTTAGGGGAGTCAGAAGTGATATGCTTCCTCTTGGATTGGATGAGGGTATGGCTTTGGAGAGAGCAAAATGGAGGGCAGGTATTCGTGTGGAGGAGTGATCTTGTATCATCTTTTCCCCTCTTTTTTTCTTTTTCTTTTATGTTTTTATCCTTATATATAAATATTACTTTATCCTTTTTATTTTATCTTTTATATGTATATTCATCTCTTTTACATTATCTTTTTTATATATAATAGTTTATCTTTTTTATCTTTATTTTCTTTCTTTTCCTTTTGGTGATATCATGTATCGATTCATGTTAGCCGACCCCAATATCGTTTGGGACTAAGGATTGGATGTTGTTGTTGTTGTCTATATCGAGTGACCCGTACGAATATGTAGACACTAAACCCATTAAGCACATTTGCAATATTTATAAAATAGATATGCCAAATAAAAATATTAAAGTATAATAGTTTTATCAACTGCTGGAATATAATTAAGTTTCCTCATAACCAATGTCTAGCATTTTAGAAAATATTTAGCAACAAGTGAGACTTTATATCTCATGATTTCTTTTTTTCTCATTATGTTTGCGCACAATAACCCTTTTAAACTCACATATTTTACTCCTATTGGCGTTTAGACTAATGGTCCAAAAATATCATGTTTTGTAGAGATTTTAATCCTACCTGAATTGCTTCGTTTCATTTTGGTCAATTATGTCTACAACGACTCATCAGTATATTTTGACTCATTGTTATCATTTTCATTCATTATATTTGTGGCAATGACCTATGCAAATATATTATGATTATTGATATCTTTTTCGTTTTATTGTATCCATGTAGAAACATACTCTATTCGTCCCGAAAAGGTTTGCCAAATTGAATTTTCGTGGTTAATGTTTTAATGATAGTCAACTTTGACTAATGATATTTTTTAACATGAAATATTTTAAATATAAAAATTATATCAAAATGATCCTTATTCAAAATATTTTCATAAAATTATAAGTTTATAAATTAAATGCAAATATAATGTCACGCCCCGGACCCGCCGGCAACATCGACATTCGCCGTATAACTCATTAAGGGCAACCATGGTCTACCCTTGCCGAATTAAACAACGTGTCACGTTTATCATACACACTAAGTATCCTATAACAATAAAATAAACTACAAATATTCTATCATTAGACAACAGAAAATAATAATTAAAATAGTAATTAGACACGCAGGGCATAATGCAGGCACACGAGCCCAATACAAAAATAAAAATATTATTTGTCCATGAGCATTTCTAAGTGATGTTTAAAATAGAACGTGGAAGCACGAATTGAGTCTTCACTCGAGCACACCTACTCTCTGCAAGAGTGCAGGCAACAAGCTCAAACTTCCACCTGAAAGTATTAGTGAGGGCCCCGAAGGGGTCAATACATCTGGTACTAGTGAGGGAAGGTGATACTATAAGATACATAACAAGCATTTATACATAACACCATTAAAATATGGTGATACATATTATATAGAATTTTATATATTCTAAAATTAATGAAAATAGTCAGCCCGTAGCCCCGTAGGCCATCTTTAATTTTAGAAAAATCTTTTTATGAAAAATCAACCCGCAAACTATATTTAATATATCAAACCCGAAGCCTAGGCCCAATTTAATTTATTAAGCTGTAGACCCAACATGTTTTCTTCAGCTCGTAAGCCCAAAACAACTTATACAACCTGAAGGTCAAATATGATTTATACAACCCGGAGGTCAATTATTTGTTTAATTCGGCCTCTATAGACCGCCTAATCCTATAGAAGTGCTGTCACCCAAATCCCAGGGTTTTCAAACCACTCTACCCTGTTAGCCAATATCAAATCCTGTCAGAAGGTAAGGCCACTCGAGGATCTATGTGTTACTGCCACCAGAGCCTCATAGTGTTCCCTAGTTTGGTATACACTCTTTATGTGATCACACCACGAATCTGTGTCACCTCAGTCACGCTTTAAAGTCGTGTCAGGTCAAAGTCTTTGTTCCCTAATCCCTAGTTTGGTATACACTCTTTGTGTGATCACACCACGAATCTGCGTCACCTCAGTCACGCTTTAGTCGTGTCAGGTCAAAGTCCACGCACCTAAGCCCAACACTGCACTAGGTAACTAATTATTTATATATATGTCTGTTTCAGCTTCAATCAACCTCTAAGGTCTATCCATTCACAAATAACGCTGTCAAGCTCTCACGCCCCTTTTAAGCACATATTGTCTTCGTAGCTCCTGTTCAGGCATAATAGGCGTATTGTGGCCAGTGTCTATATCAAACATATGTAATCACAATTATGATTCCTAATAGGTTCACATAGGTCCACTAGATCATATCCCTGACATTTAATCTAAATAATAATTCGACTAAATATTTCTATAGCAGACATTGTGTACATAAAACAAATAACATTTTATATTATTAAAAAAAATGTTAAGTAAGCACATTTACACATACAAGTTATAAGCATATAGTGTTCCAATCACTCATCCAGAATATATCTTAGCCATTTTAATGTGTTCCTGTCTTGGTGAATCGCCTGATCAATGCTTAATCAACTGCACAATCAAAGCCTAGATCAATCTAGAGTTTCGGACGGACAACCAAATTGTAAAGCGGCGCAAACATGTATTTTAGTACGGGTAATGACCGACTGGATCGGTTCAAATATATCTGTCCCCCTAATATTTGGACGGAAGGGAGTGGTGTGGTTTTTAAGGAAAACAAAATTATGTGGTTGATAATGAGTTGATAAATTGGGAATAAAATAAGAATGAATTAGAGTCACACAAATGTTACCAAATATGGTATGAGACAATCAGACAATAATAGGGGGACATTCAAAATGAAAAAATGGACAATTATAGGGGGCGGAGTGTCACGCCTCGGACCTACCCGGACATGTCAACATTCAACAACCCGCCGTGCAATACGAATAGTCAACCATAGTCAAACACATCCATATTATACAATATGTCTCGAATATCATTCACACATAAGTCATCCATAAACAAACATAATAAGTAATTCAATACGCAGCGGAAAACATAGTTTGAAAACAAATGCCACATGGGGTAAACATGAGCACACAGGCTCTAAAGTAAAATATTCATGAGCAATTTATTAATGTTCAAAACAGAATGGAGGAAGCACGAACCAAGTCTTTTCTCCGATATAATCACCCGAGCAACGAGCACAGGAAACAAGCTCTAGCCTCAATCGGAAATGGTGGTGGGACGCCCCCGAAGGGGTCAGTACTCTATAGGGCTATACAGTACTGGTGTGGATGTCATCTAATAGATATACAATAAGTATTTCAAACACAAGACCCTCAAATAGGGTCATAATACTATATGGGTCG